TGACCTCCGTTTCGGGGTGGGTGGGGAATCACCCAGAAAGTACGTTGTTCCGTGGTTTCTCCAAAACGGCCGCCTCGTATACTCTCGCCTACTCTCTGACGAACTGTAACACATGGAGGTGGATGGCGTCCCAAGTTCGGAAAACGACAGGGGGTGAACTCCACTTCCATGCTAGTTCGACTCTTGATCAATAAACCCACCTCAAGTGGATTGAGTTAACCCTTCTGACGGTCTATGAATCAAGAGTCTACACTCCATGACACCGCAGCTCCCTCACTTGGCTCGGGAGGTGAAATTGAAGGAGACGGAGTTTTGCTTGGACGCTGCACAGCCGGACACGGTGGGTGGCCGCGTGCAGGTCTTTGCATGCCACTTGGACACCACGTGGCAGTGCTGTAGGAACGCCGATCGCTGTAGGAACGCCGTCAGCCGTCAGCCTTGGTTCAGAGGAGGATTTGGGTCGTCATCGCACTGCCGAATCCGGGCTCGGACAGTGAAAGGGAAAAGCCTCGTAGAGTATATGTTCTAGCAGTTTGATTGAAGCATGGCTACTCGCTGGTTGAATGTGCTGTGTTTGGGGGGTCTGCTGCTCCCAAATGAGGGAGGAGGATCATTCTGGAACACATGAATCGGCTCTTTTTGGAACACAAAAATCCTTTCGCCCTGTGGAATAGATTCCGGCGTTCGATAGAAGTTTGTTTATGTAGGGTGCACGCAATGTCATATCGGTTCGCGGGTCGAATTTAGAGGAGGAAGGTGCCATTCCAAGGTAGTATGCCTTCCTGGGTTGCTTTGTTGTTTTGATCTCGTTCACAAAAAGCGGGAGGGGGGGGGGGCGGAGGAGGGCGCAGCGCCTTCCCAGCAAAGTGGGCTCGTTGGTTGCTAGGGAATGTAGAGTTTTGCCTTTGCATGTATGCAATCATGCTACATGGAATTGAGACCTTTTCTAAGCAAAAGGACACCCTCAGCAAGATCTAGTACAACCTTTATCCTGATTTTGGCCCCATCAGGACTCTTCACCAATCCCTTTTGAGCCTTTGCAACGTGATTAACCGATTGACGGCCCTTGACCCTTGGCAAGATGTTGGGCCTGTCCTATTATCTGTAACAGTCAGTATTTCAGGTCTTATCACTATTTCAGAGATGCCGACCTACAACCCTTGGCCCACTGAAGCCGACTGAAGCCTGATAATGGGATAAACCCAAGCAAGACCCAGAGATCCAGTCCTATACCTTCTCAGAAGGTGATGTGTTCAAAACAAATCTGTAGGTGCCAAAACGTCGGGTCCAGTCGTACCTCACCTGAGAAGACCTCGGGGAGATGTTTTCAGTCACCTATAGGTCGACCTTTGTTCCACTGGGTATCCCAAAGAAGACCCTATCTATTTGATCGACCATGTTATGTGTGAAAGTTCGGGATTCAGTTGATTCACTTGAAAGTTCGGACTCTTTCTATAGGAATGACTCCGGTTGACCTGGATTTAGTTCTATTTTTGGATCCAATCCTGTAGAGAATATATATGATGGCAGTCAAAGCCTCCGTGGTGCTTCTTCTTCAGCTCAGAAGCATCAGTGTTTTTTGTTTTGTGTGTGTGTTTTGTCACTCTCTCTACAGGCAAATCTATGTTTAATGAACTGGCAGATATCAACCTTGGTGAACTGGATTTGAAGATGTCCGAGTCCAAGTTCTCTTCTTCCAGCGAGCGGGGTGCCGGGGCACCACGCAGCTTCGGCTTTTCGCCCAGGTCACATCGGGAACGGCAATCAAGTTTGGCGTCTCGGATTTCCAACCCTTTTCGCCCCGTTCGTTCGGTTCTGTTCGCTTGACCGGTTCGTCACCCCAAAAACGGACGTATTTTCCGGACCTGTGGATTCACCCTGAAAGCCTAAGCCTTGGGGGAGTTGGGATGGATTGGGGACACCAAGTGGGACACCCCACGTTTCACAAGAACAGGTCTGACGGTTCGGTTAAACCTCTACTTTCCAAGGGACAATGACCCATGGCTCGGGAGTCAGTCATTGTCACATGTCAACCCGCAAAACTTGGACGGTTCCAAATCTGCAGCCGCGCAGGCAGGGTCCTGACACCCTCACATTCCGCAACACATGTCAACAAATTACATGTTGAAACGTAATCAAACATATCACAAAGCCCCCCCAACCCCCAACATGTACATCGACGCTCTTCATGTAGACCCTTGATTCATAAGAATCCCTCAGAAATGGATTGTAAGACCTCTTCAGGCCTAGGGGCTTTGATGATGTTTGAATCAACAGTCTACCAGCACCACCCCACAGGATGGTTAGATGTGTTCCATACATCGATCCTCCGGGGTCTACCTATGGTGCTGTAGATGTATGAAGAACCCCCCTGAAGATAGAAGTGAAGAACCCCCCTGATGTATGTTAGAATGGCCCCTGTACCTATGGTGCAGGCACATGAAGGGGCCAAAAGTCACCTCGGGCCACCAGTCCTCGCGAGCACGCCGCTCTTGTGCGGGTGTGCTCCGGCCGAAGTGAACAGACTCGGATTCCTGGGGAGCTTGGTAAAGCTTTCTTAGTGGGTGAGCTGTTGGTACTGTACCCACCTACCAACCGACGAAGCGGCGTACCCAAAAAACGGACCCACATCCGGTCCGGAGATCGGTGTCCACGGTTGGACGCTGGAAAGGAGTCATTTGGACTCCAAAGTGTGAAAGGAGAGTGGTCATGTCATGGCTACTAATAGTGGAAGCCGCCACTGGAAAGAATGCCCCACTTTTGTACTGCTTTTAGACCTCCTTCCGCTTCTCTTCTCTTTGATTGCTGGAAATAGGATGACCGAGCGTGAAACGTTTTGTGCGCAGCGGAATTGCGAGGGCAGCAAAAAAAAAGTGCCATGGACAAGAAACACAAGTTTAATGGATCGTGAAACATATATCATGTTAATTGGTAGAAACATGTAGAACACGTAAACAGCAGCATTGTTGTGTTGGCACACCTTTTGGGGGTTGAGTGCACCCTTCCTTTTGTGGTTTGCAAAGAACATCCAAAACGCACCTTTTGGGCATGTCAGCAGGATTCGATTTCTGCGCAGTCTGCGCTAGCGCTTCGACGTGTCCTCTTTCAACTTGATGACTAGCTTCGTGTGTCGCTTCGTCGCTTCCTATAGTCCATAGACTCGGGAAAGATGTTGCACTGCTCGAGCTAGCATTAGTTAGAAGACAACGATTCACCTTAGTTAAGCTAGCATTAGTTAGCATTAGTTAGAAGACTCTTCTGTGCCTTACTGATTCCTCTTGACTCTTGACCCTGTTTGCTGACAAGTTGTTTGATCTCCCATTTGTTAGGCCCCTATCTTCGCAGAGCCCCCGCCCCCACCCCCATCTTCGCAAGTGATGGAACGTGTGACTTTGGCAGATGTGAGTTGAGAGATCCTTCAAGGATTCATACCCTCTCAAGTGGTGCAACGTCTCTTTTGTCCGTTGCTTTGATCCCGCCGTTTGAGGACCTTCTCCGAACACTTGTAGCTCTGATCGCGCCGCGGTGTGAACACTTTTGCTGTTGAGGGTTGAGACAGGAGATCCAGTGGCAAAAAGAACCAAACACGCAGAGAAACACAAAAACAACATCATATTGTCGTCACGGAGAAACAGAAACAATCTCTAGTCCTTAGTCCTGGAGCTGCAACCACATCCTCAAAAGGTAGTTGAACCCCCCCAAACTTACAACTATCTTCTCCGGAGTTGGGAGGTAGTTAGAGGAGCCCACAGAGTAGTAATATTTCAAAATTGGACGGTCACCTTATGACTACAACTCTACACTGAAGATCCGCCTGTCACCTCACGATTTTGCATGCATCATCGACTCGATGTTGCCTGGACATGGAAACTGGATGAACCAACTTCCATAGAGGGTTGGAAGCATTCAGAACTGGTGCCATCTCAACCAATGGAATGTACCCACCGTCTCAGTGTCGTTCGGTCGAAGTCGACCGATCTCGGTGAGTTGAATCGTTCTTCGCCTGACAGCGTGAACGATGGCCGCGGGATGACTGGTTGGCTTTGAGTCGTTGCGTCGGGTGACGCTCCAACGGCATGAACAGATGAGTTGAACACCGTCGAAGATGTCCTGAAGTGGACCTGCAACATGGAGGCTTGGGTGGTTTGTTGTATAACTAATTAATGTGATTGCATGAGCGGTGACAGATTGAAGGGGTTCCTGCTTTCGTATCTTCGGGATGTGGTTTAACAAGCTTGCCTATAGAGTTGGGCGGTCATTGACCAAGATGATATATTGCTTTCTTCTTAATAATACAATTATGCAAGGCTTACTGTTTTTGCATTTGGCACCCAGTTCTTGACAGCACAAGGTTGTCGTGCCGATCTCGACGCAGAGCGAGCAACTGCCACAGGCATCGTACAGCCTTTTGTGCTCCGCACCCCTTCAGGCATTATGTCAAGAAGTGATTGGTGCATACAGCGCGATTCTAGTATTGAAACAGGTGCAGCTACAGCCGTGCAGCTACAGCCGTGGGTTTGGGAGAATTCCAATGTCGACTCTCGTCCAGTTTCAGGAGCACTCCGATTTTGATACATGGTGATACCCCATATACTGTATATGGTAAACGTTGCAGGAATGGTCCGTCGGTTTGACCACCGGGTAGAGGACGACCTTCCAAAGCCACCACTGCGAAACAGGGTCATGTCCCATGTTCTATTGTACTTTGGAGGGTCCAGGTATAAAATGGTATAAATGTAAATGTAGATCAACCAAACCCGTTTGCGTTCCTGGCCTACCTCCATTGTTGGTTTGGGTCAGGGGGGTCAGTCCCTACCTTCTGAGGAGATGGGCCAAGAGCTCCAGGGAAAATTGACCATTTGGGCATTATGCAACTCGGATTGCCCTTCTGAAGAAGCTTTTTCTAAGCTGTTGCTTGGAGATGTCATGATCTTTCAGCTTTGGACGATTTTGACAGGCTGAACTCACTTGTTTCTCTTGGTGACCTGCGAAGGCGTTTGGTTCAAGCATTCGTATACAGCTCTATGACCATTTCCAGTTTCTACCATGTTCCTATTGGTTAGGCCAAGCTCAAACAAAACAAACAACAATGGACCCATGTCATCCCATGTCACGATTTCACCAGGCTTCCTCCCCCATGTGACTGCCCTCGGTCGTGCTCGGTGCTCGGAGTTCGGTCCAGGAGAGTCCCTATGCTGACTCCGAGGACACGGGACAGGCGACCCGACCAGGGGAGAGAGAGACCGACCACACGAGGGTAAGAAGGGTTTCGAAGAATGGTCATTGAAGAACAGTACAAAAGCGGTTCTGGTTCTTGGTGTTTTTATGATGATCTGTATATGATGACGGAAATATAGTTGTTTTAAAAGTTTGTTTTTTCCTATATAGTATATTCTTTAAAATAGACTTATTAGACAATTTCTTAATTACCCTGACGATCCATGACCACACATAGGTCACAAATAGAAATGATCTCAGGATATGCATGCATACGTTTCTATTGATCGTGTTATTTGAAGACGTTGTCGAATCACAGATTGGGGGACTGAAATGTATATACAATTCCAGTATCATTGTCGGAGGATAAGACCATGAAATCCCAAGAACCAAGCATACCAGGGCGTGACGAACCGTGACAGACCGTGATTGGTCTATTTTGTCCCTTTAAAAATGAGGTCATTGTCGGACTCCAGCGTGACAACCCGTGACGAATTTGAATTTGGGATCGTTGGTTTTGTGGTTTTTGGGTTCTGTGGTTTTGTGGTGTTTGGGTTCTGGTATGATCTCGTTTTTTGAGGTCGGACCTCACAGGGTGAGGTCGGAGAGCCCCAGAAGGCACAACCCCAAATGTTAGCATATAGAGCTAACTTTCGATCCTCAGGGTTATAATCTTAATTATGTTATGTTCCGTTATTTTGGTTGGCCCCTTTTGGTCCCTGTTGGTCGTGTCCAAAGGCTTTCCCGGGGGATTGCATGGGGGTTTTCTTCGCCCTCCATCCCACAAACATGGTTGCGTGGACGAACAGGCCCTGAAAGGACGATTTTCCTCGTTCGGAACAGGCCCATGTTCATCCATTGTCCACAGACCCGTGACGTTTTCTTCTTCAGAGCGAAAGAGTCGAAAGAGTAAAGGTGATACAAATGACAGCAGGACCTGAGGAGAGTGACGCAAAAGAGAGGTTTGGCTAAGGCCTTTAAGGCCCTAAGGCCAGGATGTACAAGAACATGATGGATTCGAAAGCCACAAAGGAATCCCTTCATTTGACGTCAACCAGCCTACCCTTGCTTTGACCCACAGGCGTTTTTTGCACTGTTCAGAGTTCAGACTCAAGGGTCTTACGCAGATGCTGGCGATCCAGTCTGTTTGAGGACGAATCGCCTGGCGGTTGGTTGAGGTGTTACCCGAAGGGCTTCTCTCTGAGGTTTCAACCACCATTCATTGTTTTATACCAGGACCCCCAAAGGGGTGGCTAATCGACACCCCTTAACAGCTAAGGGGCTATAAATAGACACCCCGACAGGAGGGTCCTGGTATTGTTGTGTGATCAACTTTGCCAAACTACAATCCCTAGGGATCCAAGTGCCTTCTCAGAAGGTGATTGGAGACTATTTATGTAGGCTTGGAGGGCCCAAGTACCTTCTGAGAAGGTATGTGGATCCCTAGGGAATTTAATTGTTTCACAAAGGATTTAGTACAGTCAGGGGGTTCACCTGTTTGAACATCCTGGAAGGCTCGAATTCCGTGAGGCTTTCTGCGTGTATTGCTTTCCCTCCATGCTTCGTCCTACGTGGACGGAATCGGGTCCAGGATTCTCTGAGTGCGGGAGCCTTGGACGAGAAGGCATCCACCATCCATCCACCATCCATAGGGGACAGCAAGATTTCCCTACAACCCTCAAAAAAGATAATTGAACAAATCAAATGGAATAAAACACAATTTGTGTGATTTTTTAAAACAATTTTTGAATATCATCTGAATGGATTTCCACCTCACCCACTCACATGGAATCGGACCAATCTTCCATTCCCATGGATTCTACGTCGCGCTCCGGCAGCATCGTAAGGCCACCACCACCGCGCCCCCCGGACTCGTCGCCTGCGATTCGCTCCGGAGCGAACCGTGGCCAGTGCCTCTCGATGCACCAGCCCTGGGCCTCGTTGTTGGTCTACGGCTTCAAGCGTGCGGAGGGACGCTCGTGGGGGAAGCTCAGCCCGGGCTTGGTCCGGGACGAAGGAAGGCGACCACGGAGGTGGGTGGACGGCGACCACGAACGGCGATGTTGACCGGTGACTCACCGGTGTTTTTCGGTTCGTTGACCGGTGGATGAATCCGGTGTCCTGGGGATTGGTACCTGGACCTTCAAGGGGTTGTCCAATGGTCCCTTAGTGGTCTAGGGGCTTCCAGCCAGGTGACCCCGACATGAAGGTGCTGGTAGTGCCTTTTGTGTTTTTCCGGTGTCCTGCAAATCCAAGAAGATCTGAGGTGAAGTGGATGTTTACCTTTTTTTTAATCGAACTTGTGGACTTGGGCTGGACTCGTAAGTGCAAGGTATAGACGATGTAGATCTTATGTCGATGAGGTTGATCGAGGTGTAGATATTTCGTTGGTGTCAAAGGGTTGACCGCAACATGTTTTGGCACATAAGAGTCAACAAATGGAACGATCTGTCAGTCTCTCCAAAGGCACCAACTCCCCCTAGAAAACCTTGAAAATTGGACATGGCCCTGTAAAGACAGGTGCTTGATGGTGCTTGTACCCATTTCTTGAGTTACCTTGGTATGTTCAATTTATCCACATGGCCTTTCTGAAAAACCCGTAGACTTCGTGACCGACTGGTGTTTTCCCTACCCAGTCAGGGAAGAAGAACCTACAAAACAGAGTGTCGAGGCTCAGCTGAACAACTCGTATACCGTATACCTCATGAAACTTGAACAAGTGGACAGTTCAGCCGAAACGTGAGTCCATAAGAATCCGTATGACGTGGAGACATACCCGTCCGAGACGGCCCAGCATCGGCCCGAAGAAGTTCGAAACGGTCTGAAGACGGGTTCGAACGCGAGTGTTTGCCGGATGCCGGATGCACATTTAAGATAGGTCAACCATTCTTAAGAATTCCTTGGAAGGTATAGGGTTAGAGTTTATAAGCTATTTGATGATGGGACTTTATACATGTTGAACTCCTCCATCCACCTGATGGCTTCCCTTGGGTCTCACTGTAAACCTTAGATGCCCTCGCCTTCCAAGACTATTGGCAAAAAATGGTTGACCTGGTTTGTGGTGTAGAATCCTTGGGAAGACTTAATGGTTGTTTTGTAAAGGACCATTACATCAATCACATGGGAAACCCAATAGAACTATACTATATAGGCCACTAAAAATTGCTCATGCCATTTTGCTCCATATTCTGCTCCATTTTGCCCTTTTGCTCCATAAAGCAGTGTAGAACTGGAGCCACACAGATCCAGATCCCTCACTCATGGACCGCGCTCCATGCCGATCCCTCCACTCGAAGCGCTCCGTGCTCCCAACAAGGTGGAAGAGCGACCATCGAGGCCGCGGCGCGCAGGGCGCTCCGTGAAGAAGACGCGCGAACGGGCGCAGGGACCTCCGCGTCCGTGTGACGTGTGACCACTCCCGTGAAAACGGTGTTGTTTTGGGGATGAATCCGGATTCCTGGCTGACTCAAGGGTCCTGTATGGCAGGGCAATGATATGATCATGACTCCTCAAAACATTCAAACATCTTCAAACGACCCTACTGGCAACCTACGTGATATTGGTTTGGGCCATAGATCTTTTGTTCACTTCTACTCCCCTTTGGGCCGTCCACCTCAGCTCAGCCCGCGGAACCGCCGAAGAGCGCCCTGCGCGATGCGGCGATCCCGCGCCAGGTCGCTTGTGGATCCATGCGACGGCCAAGGCGCCCGACCCGGCCGAAATCCAAGCACTTGAAGAACGGTGCGGAGCCCGGAGGTGGTCGTGGGGGTCGCGCCTGAGCTTCAATCGTATCAGAATTCAGTGATCGACTTTAGTATTATAAGGATTTTAGAGATTTGGATGAGACATCTATGTTAGTTGTTTTCCAATGCTTCAACTTTGACCGCGATGGATTCAGGTACAGCTTCATCTACGAAGCGGCTGGCGTGCCAATTCCGCCGGACCGCCGGAGAGGGCGGTGAAGGAAAGGAAAGAAGGCCGATTAGTGGGGTGTATACGGTATACTTGATATAGAGGTAGATGACCTTTATGCTTTTGTCCAAATCTGGTGACTCGGCACCTTCATGTGATTTTTGAAGGGTTCCCAATATCCTGTGAGAAGGTACTTCCTATATAGGCCCTCCTGTCACCCATACCAAACATCTGCAAACATTTTCTCAGCAGGCATTATTTGGTGCCCTATATGGTGTGTGGAACGACCTTCCAAACCACCAGACCCCGACCCTTCCACCGATCCGCCTTCGTTCACCGGAACCAACTCATGCGCTCGAACAAGCACTCGACCATGGACTGGAAGATTGACACCTGGAGTCTCAGGTCGTACATAGGAAAATGGGTACAGTCGTACCTGTTTGTTGTTCGGGTCATGTCCCATGTTTGTTTGGGTACGAACGATGTTGGGGCCAGGTACCTTGACCCTTAAACGTTCAGAAAAGGACGAATCCCCGGACCCCACACGAAATCGCAGAGGTCCAAACATGTCCAAACACCCGAAGGAAAAGAAAAATAGGAGAAGGGCCGGGATTCTTGTAGGGTATAGGCAAATCTTGCAGACTACCATGGACCTTTCTTTGTTCGTACCGAAACAACAATGGGACATGACCCCAAAAGCTCCAAAAAACAAACAAAAAACCATATAACGTACTACATACGATATGACATAACAAAACACTCCATGTTATCCCCTTGAGCTCCAAGTACCTTCTAAGAAGGTGTTTGGGGTGTGTTTGGAGGGTCCAAGTACCTGAGGAGGTACGACTGGAGCCCTATAGGGATCGTGTTGTTTCCATCCCCTTGATTGTCCGCTTCCCAACCGGACCTCGGTCAGTTCCCAACGGAACCCGGTCCTGGGCGGTCCGGGCGGTCACGTTGAACGCTCTGGCGGTCGCTCCGTCGCTCCTCAGGTCCTTGCCCTCGAAGTCGGGTGGCTATCCCACCTCGGCGAGGGACCCGAACGGAGACGTCGGAACGGAGAGACCGAAACCGAGTTGGCGACGGAAGAACGACGTGGTCGGAACGTTGGCGATGGGGTTTGGAGCCTAAGGGACCTATACCTAGGTATGCTTCATATATATATATATATACGCTGTATATGTTCATGATTGATGCAATTATGATGTAACATGTTGTAACACCTGTTTTTGAAAATATGAGATCCCCCTCCAATACCCCAATTCCCTTCTCATGTTCAGAAGTCATTGGTATTATGAGTGTGTTTTTGCGTTTTTGACTATTTTTTGTGATGTTTTGAACATCAAATCATGGATACGTAGGTTCAGGTTTCTTGTTCCCTCTGGTGAAGATGGAATACAGAAATCATATAAACTGTATAAATAAAAAACAAGATGGAACCCACGAACCCGAATGCAAACACTTTCGAAAAACTACATATGTCCAAATGACACTCTTGTAGGACACTCTTGTGGGACACTCTTCTGGGACACTCTTGTAGGACACTCTTGTGGGTCACTCTTGTAGGAAAGTCTTGTGGGTCACTCTTGTGGGTCACTCTTGTGGGTCACTCTTGTGGGACACTCTTGTAGGACACTCTTGTGGGACACTCTTGTAGGACACTCTTGTGGGACACTCTTGTGGGACACTCTTCTGGGACACTCTTGTGGGACACTCTTGTGGGGCACTCTTATAGGACACTCTTCCAGCTCCCCAGATACTCCGCGTACTAAAGTTGTACTACATGCAAAGTCGCCAGTGCTCGCCTGCATTTCGCGCGCTCGACACGCGCGATCTCCGCAGAGGGTTGCGCGGGCGCCGGACAAATCGCACTCTCGCCTGCATTTCGCGCACTCGACACGCACGATCTCCGCAGAGGGTGGTGCGGGCACCGGACAAATCGCACTCTCGCCTGCATTTTGCGCGCTCGACACGCACGATCTCCGCAGAGGGTTGCGCGCGCATGGGACAAATCGCACTCTCGCCTGCATTTCGCGCACTCGACACGCACGATCTCCGCAGAGGGTTGCGCGCGCATGGGACAAATATCACTCTCGCCTGCATTTCGCCCACTCGACACGCACGATCTCCGCAGAGGGTTGCGCGTCAAGTCTCCAAAGCGAGCGTTTCGTACGAGACTTCCTCGAAAAGTCAAGCGGAAACATCCCTCGGAGCACACACATCACGCAGCCCTGCCAAGCAGTTTCGCGATTCCAGCCCCTCCAAACAACATCCGCTCACACGCCAATCCCAATGTGACAGCGACATTCACCTCTACCACAACTCACAACCTCACGATTCCCTGCGCCTGCCACGAATCTTTCCGCGTCCACATGTCTAACCCGCACAAAGTACTGCGCCTGCCACGAAATGTCACCTCCGTCACACCTCGCAACCTCACGATTCCCTGCGCCTGCCACGAGAATCGCACTTCCACGCCTCAAAACCTGCACAAAGTCCTGCGCCTGCCACGAAAAGTGACAATATCATCATGTGAGCTTCAACAAAATATGCGCGACACCACACGTTTGGAATGATTTCGACCCGTTCTGAGCACACTCCCATCCACCAAAATCGCCATTTCAGCTGAGACTTGTCACGAAAACCGAGCTTCGATGCCACACCCTGAAACGCAAATCCCAATGGCACGGCCACATCCAACACCCCAAAAACACGACTCTCCAAACGCTTCAAGGCAGCGGCAGCAATCCGAAAAAAGGTCGGTGGGCGGAATGAGCTTGAGGATCTGTTCTACAAGCATTCGCAGGGCAACGAATTGGAGAAGGTCTCTTTCGCAATGCTTCTTGCAGAGTTTGCCGGTCAGGACAGGTCCCAAAGAATTTGTTTGAAATTCTTCCCACCGTGTTTTGTTGCACTAGGGAAGGGTCTTGCAAAGGATTTGGTCCCCACTTCAGTCTGTCTGTCCCCAGGACTTTGATCCCAACAGCTTGTGGGAAGGCATTGCTGGTGCATCAGCCAGCATTGGGCTTGGTGAGTGGTTGACCTTTGTTTTGGAGCACTTGACATGCTGTGCGACCACGGCGGCATTGACCAGTGATGTTGACACTGAGGACGTGATCCTCACTGTGAAGAACGGAGACTTTGTGACGGCTTGCGAGGCACCTGAGGTGTTGCCAAATGGTGTGGTCCGCCAAAAGGTGGTGTCAATGGCTCATGGCGCAAGCCAAGAGGGCTTTGTGACTGTGCGCGGTATGTCTGGCATGCCGCTGTTCATAGCTGGCTGAGGCACTTGACCGTGCAGCTGGTGGTGATTCACTGGAGCCGACACCAAAAAGACGAAGACTGAACTCACACGAGGCAAAGCCCAAGGTCAAGGCGATCCTGCCACCACCACGTGCATGGTGTGCATCGGATGGCAGGAGGACGCGTGAACAGCGTCATCGCTGAGATTCGCAGGCTGCAAGCGAAAGGTCCGGAGCTCTTGATCCCAAAGCGGGCTTTTTCACGTCTTGTGGCCGAGGTGTTCAGTGACATTGCAGCTTCAGAGGCCGGCTTGATCATGCCCCCGGCCACCTCACCAAGCGAGCCACAAAGGTAAAGGATGTCCTCACAAGGTTTGGAGTGCCTGCAGCACGCCACGGAGAGCATGCGGCTTGACTTCTTGGCAGATTGCAACCAATTGGCTCACTTTGCAAGAAGGGTGACGATCCAGCCGAAAGATCCGGGATGCCCTCTTGCAAAAGACAAAGTTCAAAGAGGCAGAGGACTTGTGGCTTCGAGTGCTTGTTGACATTAAGGAGCGGCAACTCAAAAATGCCGAGCGGTTGGTGTCTGCTTTTGTGCTTGCCCCAAGTCAAGCTGCAGCCTGTGAGCGCTCCTTTGCCCAGGCCGTGAAATTGCAAGAGACCCTATAGGTCAGCAAACCAGCCCAGAAGTCTTCCACGCTTACATGCTTGTCTCGTCGTATGGGCCAGACCCTGAGTCTGCTCAAGCCATGACTGCACCACAGAGTTCCTGCAAAAGGAACGAAGGACCAGTGTTTCTGGACATGAGGTGTATCGGCATGGTCGGATGGTCATTGCTCGCAAGAGAAAGGTTCGGTCCGATGTTGGCATCAAGCGAGCCGTGTACAGGCCCGCAGCCAGGACATCCAGGCTCCGTACCCAGCAAAACGCTCGCAAACTCATGCGAGGAGAAGGGGCGATTGAGCTGGCAAGGCCGGATGACAACGCTGAGCCGCACCCGATTTTCATTCAAATGTCTCCAAAACGTGGTGACAAGAAGGCAAAGGAATCCCTTGCGCCGCCATAATCCATCTAATCTTGATGCGCCGACCAAAAAAGGTTCCCTGCAGACAGACTGCGCAGCAACGAAGTTTCACGCATTCAAATTTCGATCGAACTTGCTACCACCACTGAAAAAGCTCCAAATTTCGCACCCCAATTGAAAAGGCTCCAAATTTCGATGAAATTTGGAGCTGTTGTTTCCCCAATCAACCTGGATCGCTTTGCTTCGATCAAAGAAAACTTAATCGCTCTGAAGGTGTTTTTACTTTGAAGGAAGCAGCAAAAGAAGCAAAAAGAAGAAGAAGCAGAGGTCCAGCGATTTGCACTTCACTTTGTTTGTTTCTTGGTCTTGCCAGGCTGCCAGCTCCCGCCGCTGTTCAGCCCCGCCGCGCCACATCGCGCGCACCAACCCCGACCTCACCCAATATTTTGGTATTTCAACGACCTAATCCTTATTTCCATATTGAAATAGCGAATTACGACCCAACGACATGAAATATTATAGTTCAGCCAGATATGATATTGCATTCATTTGGAGGAAAACATGTTGTATGCTTTAATAATGCTTTTGAAAATCAACAGATGAACCAAAGAACATGTTCAGAAAACAAAGGCTCTTTTTCCAAATATACAGAGATGATACATACCTGCTTACAGTGTGATGTCCTCACAAAAGGACGCTTGACATATGGGGAAAAGCGACCCCCTGCGTGAACGCGCACTGCGTACCTTTTTACAGGTGTTGCTGGGCCTTTTGTGCCACGAACGAACTGCCACAAACAAGTGTTTCAGCACACGCATATGACATATGAGAACACACATAGAGCACACATGAGAACACACACATACAAATAAACATAAGAAAGAGCAGGAGCACGGATGTGATTTTGTTGTTTTTGCACAGGTTGCTACAATATTTGGTTCTTTGGTTGGCAATGGCACCGTTGCAACTCCATTAAGTATTGAACTGCAAGAAGTGCTTCAAGGCAAGAACACAGGCGGTTTGATCAAAAGCAGTCACGATTGAAAAGGCAGAGCAATAATAATTTTCCGGACAAGAATAACTCATGGTATATAGATATAAGTGTTTCTAAGTGTTTCATTTATCTGGTATTGAAATTGTCAGACCATGACAGACTGCAAAGAGGCCAAGGCGCCAGGCGGGACGACAAGACGTGCCGCAAAAAAACTCAAAAGCTCCAAGGCTAGGCGTTGCTGGTTCTTTTTGCGCTGAGGCGTTGCTGGGATGCGTGGACGTTGAGGCTTGCTGGAGCAAAAGTGAGTCGGGCACCCCAGAGCGATCGATCTGGAGCCGAGGGAGTCGGCGGAGCTCGAGCGCTGTCTGTGGCAATGGGGGTCTTGATCCAGAAAGAGCGCGCGCGCGTGCGCGCGTTTTTTCAGCCGACGAGCTTCCTCCACCCCACAATGATGTCTTTCCAGAGGGGAATTTCATGTATTACATGAGCCCGAAATAGATCGACGAGCAGATCCCAACGAAGAATGTATTGGAAACCGGTTCTATCTATTTGGAAACCACTTACATTAGATACGCACCGCATCTCTAAGCCATTCCAAACCGACTATAAGTTTTCCCATGCAGAAAGATGGCCTGTTCATTTATATCTGGTGGGTAATATAACCATGTTTTCGGCCAATTCCAAGACAAACAGATGGAACACACACACACACAGTGTCACCTCCAGTTATGCTGGTCGGGTTATGTCACCTCTGTTTGTACAACTCATGTGACGTTGGTGAAACCCTTTATGGGATTGATTGATAACCTCAGAAGTTGGTGAAAACCCTTGATAGCCTCGGAAGTGACAACGAACCTCAGAAGAGGGTTCAACTCAACGCACTGAGGGTTCAACCTGTGGGTTCAAGCTCTTAGGCTTTAGGTATGCAAATGTTCGGGCAAGAAAAATTGTCCCGTTATGTGTTGATCGGGGGGGTCCCACCAGCGTTTTCTTTCGCTGCCGATGGGGTCGATGAGCTTCAAGGTACGCCAGCGTGCTTGAGAAGAACCCCTCCATGCCACAGGACCTGCAACGGGGTGGTCACTCGAAGCGGATACCACAGGTTCTCCACTGCATCCCACGAGATAGTCATATATGAGTCATATGTCTTGTAGTGAATTGCAACCTGTGGCTTTGCCATGTGGTCACTCAGCGTGTGTGTTGATTGATGTGCGAGGTGATGGTGCGAGGTGATGTGCCACATGCGTGCTGATGCCGATATCATGGCACTTGGGGACCCCTGCCCGGCCTTGCCCGGCGCCATCAAATGAATAGAACAGACCTAAAGTCTGACATGGTCAAGCTACGGTGCGAGGAGTTCCAGGTTGGGTTTTCACGAAAGCTAGCCTTAGCTAGCTGAAGTTGCTCTTGCTTTAGCAAGTTAAATGACGGGGTGGACGCGCCTGAGAAACCTCAAATAATTGATTAAATCAATCTTATGGACACCCCCCCCCTCCGGAGGTTCAACTCCCCCCTGCGCGCGGTGAGCGGGTGGAAACAAATTAGCTGCTGCTGCTGCGGGGTGGGCTGCTGCTGCTGTGGCTGCTACTCGGTGGGCGGTTCATTCCCTCCGGCTATGCACTGTGGGAGCACTTGGACTCCACGTGCGCTCTAAAGCAGTTTTGTCAACCTTTGAGTGCCGATAGTCCGAGTGCACAAAAGCCAAATGACGCTACCTGACTCCACATTGGAACTAGTGGTGTACGAGGGGTAAGGCTATGGTCCAAGAAATGCCGCCTGCACATTGCACCCAAAAAGGTGCTAATTTAAATCCCTTTTTCGTACCAATTTTGGCCCAGCATTTGCAACACTATGGCCTCACGTGCTCGCCTGCTGGTCTGCTGCTGCTGGGTGGTCTGCTGCTGCTGCTGCTGCTAGCTGGTCTGCTGCTGCTGCTGCTAGCTGGTCTGCTGCTGCTGCTGCTGCTGGGTGGTCTGCTGCAGCTGCTCGGTGTTCTGCTGCAGCTGCTTGGTGTTCTGCTGCAGCTGCTGGGTGGTTGCTGCTGCTTGGTGGTTTGTTGCTGCTGCTGCTGCTTCTTTTTTGAGGTGGCCATGTAGAATAGAATTCGGCGCGAAAGTGGTGCAAAACGAGGGCCACATTTTGAACTCGTGTTGAACTGATTTGGAGGTATCTCATGCCTAGCATCACAATCTTGGTTTGCTGCTACTGCTGCTGCTGCTGGTGGGTGGTCTCCTGTTGCTTGGTGGTCTGCTGCTGCTTGGTGGTCTGCCGCAGTTGCTTGCTGGTCTGCTGCTGCTTGGTGGTCTGTTGTTGCCTGGTGGTTTGCTGCTTGGTGGTCTGCTGCTGCTGCTGCTGCTGCTGGCTGGTCTGCTGCTGGCTGGTCTGCTGCTCGCTGGTCTGCTGCTCGCTGGTCTGCTGCTGCTGCTGCTGGGTGGTATGCTGCTGCTGCTGGGTGGTATGCTGCTGCTGCTGGGTGGTGGTTTGCTGCTGCTGGGTGGTGGTCTGCTGCAGCTGCTTGGTGTTCTGCTGCAGCTGCTGGGTGGTCTGCTGCTGCTGCTGGGTGGCCTGCTGCTGCTGCTGGGTGGTCTGCTGCTGCCGCTGCTGCTGGCGCTGGGTGGTCTGCTGCTGCTGCTGCTGCTGCTGCTCCTTTGTGGTTTGCTGCAGCTGCTTGGTGGTAGACTGCAGATGCTTGATGGTTTGCTGCAGCTGCTTGGTGGTTTGCTGCTGCTGCAGCTGCTTGGTGGTCCGTTGCTGCTGCTGCTGCTTGGTGGTTTGTTGCTTGGTTGTCTGCGCAGCCACACCCTAGCAGGCGCACGCCTCCCCGCCCGGCTAGCTTTCGTTCACCCCCTCTGGCCTCAAGTTCCCATCCCCATGCATTTTTGGCTTCACAAAAGCCCCGTCTTCCTCAAACTCTTCAACGAGAAAAAGGCCGGGCTGAAAAAGGACCCCCCACGGAACCGGCGATGCTCCGACATGTCTCAGTCTCAGACGTTGTGGGGTGCACTTCGGTGCATTTTTGGGATGTTGGGGGAAGGCAAAAAAGAACATCCAACCAGTACTTACAACCAGAACTACCATGAATCGAAGCTCAGAGACAACTACTGTAGAGATTCTCAATTCGCTTTTACTGGGTCTAAGACCACCACCCCATACCACCCCCTGTGGAACTGAAAGCGATTGGTGCAGGAGAATTTGGGTGTGTAGGTAGCTCAAGTAGGGAGATCCCAGGCAACGAGCCTGGAAGAAGAGAAATACGCTAGATGAGTCTACCCAGCCAGGAGGGGGCTATCGGGGGTCCCTCAATTAAGAACCACACCGCGAAGATGGCCTCTTCTTCATTTGGGAGATTCAGTGAGTGTAGCGAAAGCCTAACTCAAGCAGCGAACCCGGCCTAACTCAAGACCGAATTGACCACGCCACCGAACCGAGGAGGAAAGTGAAAGCGACTTTATTTTCTGGCCTCTGGGCGGGCAGTTCAGAGCGGTCGGCAGGTTTCAACAAAGGAAAGGGATAATGACTGACATGGATCAGACGACGGTCTTGAAGCGGAGCAACAAAGAAACTTCATTGTGCGGGGTCTTCATGTGTGGTGACACTGGGGATTTATTCCATGTGTAGCTTGGTATCTACCATAGGTTCCTTTGTTGGGTACCTGGTACTCTGTCAGTTGCCCTTCCTAATTTCCGACCCGGCGAGTGGTTGGTCTGCATGTTGAAGCAGATGTTTCTTCTGAAATGACATGCAATACATGTCAGAATATGTACAGAACAAGAATCAAAGGGTTGGACCATGCATCAGCCATCCATCAGCAATCAGCTATCAGTCATCAACCATGCATCATTCCAACAGTCAGAATCATGTAAGCATCCTGTCAGCACAAGAGCATGGATATTGTCCATCCACAACTCAACCTAACCGCGGCTCCTAGTGGCTCAACTTGTGCAGGTGTTTGAGACCACGGCGCCTCTTGGTGCCCTTGAAAATGGCCGGCGATCACAAGGCTCGTTGGACGACCCTTGGCTGCGCAATCGGTTGGTTCGAAAACAGCTTAGCTGAAGGGCAGTCCAATGGGAAGTGCGGGCAGTCCAATGGGGGAAGGCCAGAATGACCACATGAAACTACAACATGAAGTATGCGTGTTGGGTTTGTGACATCAAGGTTTGACCCAATAAGTTGGAGCTTTTGAGAAGCGAAAGCACATTTGAAGACCAGACCATGCAACTCAGAAGACTGCGGGTGAAACTTAGAATCTCTTAGAAGGGATTTCTGCGATATCACGGGACCCAAAAGTCCTGGAAACACCACCGATTTCCATCCATCACATTCCATCACTGCGTTCGATGCATCTAATGCTATGGCGATGACTCACCAATCCCGTCTTGTCGGCATGCCCTGGCATGCTCCCAACTGAACTTGCGACGACAGGATATAGTGATTATGTTCACTGCCTCTATGTGGACAATCAGTTGTTCCACCCTGTAAGCACAGATGTGCTGGTGCAAGCGGGGAGGGGGGGCGTGAGCGGCGTGAACTGAAGCATCCGGGACAGAAAACTCTGACATACTCTGACATACGAGCGTATAGCGGAGTGTGGCCTAAAATGGCCTAAATGGCCTTGATCCTTGAGGTTCAGTCGAGTTCATGTGCTTTGTTTTAAGTCATGTGCATTCTGCGTGGCTGCTTCTCTAATCCTTCTTACTGTAGATGTTTGGAGGTGTGAAGAAAAAGGTTGAGTTGGTTTTGACTAACCATTTTGACACCACCATCCCACAGCATGCCCTTTGAAGGTTGGTTCCTTGCATCTTTACTAAGAGGAATCCGCCTGCACCAGGTTACTGGATGGACAACACATGGTCAATGGGGTCTATAAACCACCCATCACCACCCTTTGAATAGTGCTGGCATAATTTTGTTAGGGTCGTTTTGACTCGATGCTTCAAACGCGAACAGGCACAAACTCCCCTCGATCAACTGATGACCACTACAAGGCAAGTACACGGATCCATCCCTTGGTTTTACCGGGGTTTCTGGTGAAACCTGCTTATATAGCATCACACGACTCCAAACACCAAAAAGGACACATCGCCGTCCGGTGCTTGGAGCCCCGCGCCGTCGCGAAGTCGGACGATGGTCGTTGCGCCAGATTTGGAGACTTGAGAAGTCTTCCCTGCAACCGGCGCAGGCGGGAGAGAAGGGCAGCCAAGTCTTCATGACCGGAGGGGAAGGTTGGGATGCAAAAAAGGTGCCTGGCTTCGGAGGTTCTTTTTTGCTTCAACAAGGGATCCAGTCATCCAATGGCCCTGTAGGCTTTCTCAACTTGCTTTGGAACCTTCGAAACACCAAGTTATGTATATACCTCCCTGGACCTTCCAATGGGTGTCCAACGGGCTACCCTTCGCTAATTACTATCCGGGATTTCCATTAAACACCCATCAAAAGGGTAGAAGTTACGTTTGAAGTGCCCCAGTCCATGAATGTGACCAGGGCTTTTCAGATCCGAATCCGGTGCGGGAAGTCCCATCAACTTGCGAGTGCGTGGAAGAAGAGGAAGGATGCTTCCCACAGAGTGCAGAAGCTTATGCAGCGTTATGCTTTTGCACGCGAGTGGGGGTGGAACCATGGCTTTCTGAGTGTCGCCTTGACGTCCATTGCATTTGAAGCCATCCCCGGAAGTCATGGCGTCAACGATGCTGAGAAGGCCGGTAATTCTTGCACTGTGAAGGTGCTTCTGTCACTGCTATCCTACCACGGAAAGATTAAGGGACGACCCAAGGCCATGTTGAGCTACGTTGAGCCTGTGGTGGTGCTGGTGGTGCTGCTGCTGCTGGTGGCGATTGTGATGGCAGTGGCGTGGTGATGATGGTGATCTAGGGGCTGGAGGTCTAGAGTCTAGAGAGCGCACATATGAAAGGACAAGCGAGAGCATACGCACATGTGAGAGCGCGCGCGCGAGATCACATTTGCTGCGCCTCCCACGAAATCTGCACTCCAAGGCTCACAAAGCACTGCGTCCGCCACGAAATCTACATTTTAAGGTCCACAAAGTACTGCACTTGCCACGAGATCTGCACATCAAGATTCACATCGCGCAGCCCTGCCAAGGCGCTTCGCAGCAAGAGCTCGTCCAAGACAATATCAAGATGCCAAAACGCAGCTTTCGTTGCCACGAAAATTGCACCGCTCCGATCTCCAGTCTCGAAGGGCACCCGCCAGCCCACCAGATTCTGCGAGCCTGCACAAGCGAAATGCACTTCGAAGATCTCGAGGTGAATGAATGTATTGCAAGCAGTAGTGAATTACCTGGGCGCCCCGGTGAGCACCTCCGATCAGACACCAGGTAAGAACCCCTAGTGTGGACACACTGTTCAATCTTGACGGTCAGCGGCAACTCTGCAGACTTTTAAGTGGTGTGACGGACAAGCGACATCGCCTACCGCTCACCGGAGTCCCTCTCAGCAACACACTGGCCCCGCCCCACTCACATTCACGTTCATCATCGTAGACCAGGGCCGGACAAACTGTACATGTTTGACTTGAATTGGGTACAATTCTTTAGTTCTTCACTTCACACACCGCCCTTTGAGCCAAGCAAGCTACGACTCCACTCATTCATGAATTTCCGCGACAACCCACCGCTCAGCTCGCATCCTTTGCCAGCGCGGCTTACAGCCTGTGCGTTGGCCTCGGCCGCAAGAGGGCGAGAAGTCCATGACTTCGCCGGGGGCCGAGTCAACATCACCAGGGGGAACCTTGAAGCTTGGAAAAGGTACGCTACATTTTCCGGTCCGCCCTCACTAGGGGGAAGGATGAGTCAACTCAATATGTAAAATAAAAAACACAAACAGTTCGCGTGTGGTGAGGCCGAGCTTCCAACTCAGCCAGGCTGATGTTTTGTGCTTGTGTTTCTTTGCAGAAATGGATTTTGCATGGATTCGGAGCAGTTGCCACTTGATTTCCCGGGGAAACTGTGTCCGCATGTCTTGAAAAGACAAAGCTCAGTCTCTGTCGGATTTTGCACCCAGGCCTGCCATTGAGAAGTCGCAGGCCAAAGGCGGGAAGTCCCATCGATCTGTCAGGTTGCACAAGTGGCCCGTTTTTTCAAGGGATCTTGAGGTGCGAGTGCTATCAAACCTCTGAATATTAGATAACACGGTCATTTCTGAGTCCCAGATGGTCCCAGATCCCGAGATCTTCGGAGTTTGGACAGTGACATCTTCGCCAGAAATTTGTTGAACTGACATTCGACCGGACATGCAGGCCAATACTTACCGCGAAAGATTTGGATAGCAGGTTTGGATAGATATCTTAACTCTCGGAGAGTGCGCTTGCGGTGAACTTGGCAAATGTTGGACCTTTTTTCTTAATGTGAGGTACTCAAGGCATCCACATGTTGTTTACAACGTATCAAACGGCTGAACATTATGCATTGATTAAAGTTGTGCAGATATACATACACTCGAACTGTTATGCAGGTACGTGGTCAACCCAGAACCCAACATGTAAATCTCAGGAACTACACTCCATGGAACTAAAACGGACGTGTGGAAGATGGACCCTTGGAAGACAAGGTTTTCTACAAACAGTATTTTTTCCACTTCCATGTTTGTTCCAGGGAGAGTAACTAATTTGCGGATTATGAGTTTCACACGTGGAGTCGTCTCTAAAACCCCAAAGATAGAAGTACCTGTAGTCGACCCGTGAGTTCATACCTCTGAAAATGGGGACCGCGTACCTGTTTGTTGTTTGGGTCATGTCCCATTTTCTATCGGGTACGAAGGAGGTCGGGGTGTGGGAGAGACCAATGTTCGACTCCGGCCTGGCATATATGAATGATGTCCCTATTTATCTCTTGAGGTGCCCTGGTTTGGGGTCGGGCAGGATGTCCCAAGGAGTCTGAAGAGAGCGTTCAGACACCGAAGAAAGCATCCTGGATTGGCCCGACACGAAATCACAAGGGGTCCAAACCACTATGACACACTCAGAATCATAGCTCAAATGAATGAGCATGAGTTTCAGTTACCGGCTCTCCGCTGCATTAGACTCTAGACCTTTACTGCAATAGACCTTGACTTGAAAAACGCTATGGCGATAAGTCCGCATAAATTGTATTGTTTGAAGATCAGCTTGCTGGGCGCTGAAGAAAATTGGGGTGACAGCTTGAGCAACCGTTTCAACACTAAGTAGGTACGTAGCTCTGGCTATATCACAGTGCAACAGATGCGTCTTCGTTGGCTGGAAACATCTGAAGCACATTCCAGCCCCCTGCTTAAAGTTCAGCATTGGTCATTTGGGAACAAACAAAGAGACAGAGGTGGACACACACACACACACACCTTCCCAGGGGTTCAGAGATTGTTCACAGGTGGTTCACCTTTTGGAACGTCATGGAGGGCTTGGACACGTTTGGACCATAAATCACCATGTTTGGAGTGACATAGAGTAGCTTTGTTCCAAAACAAAGAGTTTTTCTGGGAGACCAGCAAATCAAAGATGTATATCAAAGAATACGATCTTTGGATGCTTTCTCCGCAAGATGTGCACACGAGTGTCTGAGAGTTGGCTTTAAGCAAACTGTATGGAGACAGCTTCAGAGTGGTGTTGAACACATGTCCATCCAACAGATTCGGGCCGAAAAGGATGAGTATACACTCCCTGACATCATGAGAACCGTGGATGGCATGGCTCCAAGTTCGGATGAGAATGAAATCCGAATACCATAAGCAAAAAATAGTTACTCCACTTCCATGACCATCATATCTCACCAAAAACCCTTTAACATTGACCTCCACTGCCTCTTCTCCAGCTTCCTCCGCTCCCTTTCCAGAAAAGCCAGCCACTGCAGCGGCCCAACGAAGCGCCGAAGCCATCGAAGCGCAGCCCAACCGGACACAGGTGGAGGGAACCGAGACCGCGGAGGGTTGGGTGGAGCCCTGTGGAATTTTCTTTGTGGGATGCATTTGTTATGCCCGAGTGATGTGAAGGGTGCAGTATTTTCATATATATAGATTCTCACCATCATGCATCATTATGTATCATGATCATGAACCATGCTGTGGTCATCATCGTCATCATAATAAGAATGATTATGTTCATCATCATCATCATCATCATCATCATCATCATCATCATCATGAGCAGCGGCAACATGATCGTCAGAATCAGTCATCATCATGTTGTTTTTGTGGTCCTCCATTGGCGACTGGGCCTGTCGGGCCTGGGAAACTCTGTTTTTGGCCGGTTCCGAGGGGCCTGGCCAGCTGGGGGGCTGCAAAACTCAAGGATTTTAAATCGTCTCCAAGTGCACAGGGTCCCAAAGTATGGATGGGATCCTTTCCAACTACACACGGGCAGTTCCACCGGTCCCTACAACCCCAGAGCGTGCAATAATGTGTTTTCAGGACCCTAGTTCAGCTATCCCATAGGCACCCCAGGTGACGGGTCCTAATTTTAGGTCATAACCGCTCTTGGATGGATCACACACGAATTGGGACCTACATCCTTGCACCTCGCGAAACGCGAGACACCAACACGCTCTTCATGGTTTGGTCAATTGCTGTGGAAGTGCGGAAAGTAACGGATTCATGCGGATCCTCCGGTGTGCCGGTGTGTGTGGATGTTCAAGGCCGGTGGGGTGAGTGGAGCGATGCTCAGGAGCGGTATGTACTCAAACCCCAAAACCCAGGAAGTACGTGGATCACCTGCCAGGACCTGCAAAACTCTATTTTGGATTGGGGAGTTCCCCCACGGTTCACGTGAATAGGTGGAACAATGTGTTTAACATGTTTGAGTGTGTTCACCTTCATATTCCGGGGAAAGAACTGACTCAGAAGTCAGGAATTCATTGATGTGGCACGTTGACCAACAGTGCTGACAGGGTGGACTTGTTGGTTCCAAGTAGCTTGTGATCATCTCAGACAGCTCTGACATACCCACACACGAGCCGTTTGCATTGGGACTTGAATATTCACCAACATTGATCCCTGTTCAAATAAAACCACCCCCAACTGATCTATATAAATCATGTATAGTCTACATATATGATGCCCGTTAACGAGCTAGCTGGACCAATTTTTTGGGGGACGGGACACTCGGCGGCTGACCGCGCTGCTGGTCGCAGGTGCACTTGGACCTGTGGCCCTCCGAGGCTTCGGAGCGCTTGGAGCTCCTCGACTCCTCCGAAAAGACCGGGCGGGCGCCGGGCCGTCGGGGCTACCGGCGGGGGTGTGGGCGGTTTCGGGGTGGGGCGAAGAGGACCATGGTATACCGGCCTGTCCTGGGGGGTGATGTAAGGGACATGACCCGAGAAGGAAGATAGGTATACCGAGTGTGATGTTGGCACTTACTTCTGCAATACCCCTGGGACGGAGTGCATCTTCTTTCTGACCGCAACAGGCTGGCTGTACAGCAGTTGGATCCTTCTTTGCTACTCGTTTTCCGTTTTGCTTGTGGTGGTCCAATGCACAGTTTCGGCTTTGCTCCTGCATGATTCCTAGTTTTCCACTTGGGATGCTTGCCTGGGTCGGTGTCCCAAGTGTTTGCTCTTCGCTTGTGGACCTTGCCTTCGCTGGTGTCATCTGAACATATAGTATGTGTCCTATATATGCCAGCACCACGGAAGGGGTGTCCAATGGAGGTGCCTTAGTAGTGTAGGGGCGTCTCTCTCTCTCTCTTTATATATATATATATGTTATATATATATATACACCTAGAACCTGAATGACCTCTATTTTGGCCACCAATCACCCAAAATATGGCCTTTTCCTATCAAAACACGGGTCAGTTGGGTTCCAGGTATATATACTGCGTTATGATTTTTTCCGACATGGACAAACATCTTAGATGTTCGAGGTTGCTTTGGATTGGTTATTGATAACTGTCGGTGGTCGAAGATGTTTCCGGTCCAGGAGCTAGGGGCTTTAGCCAGCCATCAAGCCTTTTTGGTTGAAGAATATTGCAACAAGTGCCCTGAAACGCAGGGTGGTTGGACCCTGAAACCATCTGAAATGGCTTTCAACAAGTGTGCAGGGACCCGCAAACCACCAGCAAAAACACTAGTCGACGTGAGTCCACATCCTCCTGCAGAGGACCACATGGACCCTGAAAACCACTGGTGGTGGTAGATGAGAATGGTCGTTTCACCAGGGGTCCTGGACTCAACGGTCGTGATCGTCTGCATGATGGGTGTATCGATCTGCAGAGCTTCGACGATCGCCTTGTTCCCCACTCCTCGCCGAGCTTCGTTCAGCGTCGCTTCGCCGGTCTCGGTCGCGTGGTCGGTCGGTCTGCGCGGTCGTCGGTGTCGCGTGGTTGCGTCTTCGGCTGCTTTGCTCTTCACGGTGGTCGCTGCTCCGTCGCGCGCAGGAGCGCCGTGGTCTTGCAGAATGGCTTTGTTCAGCTCAGTGGGCACCTGCCCTGGGATTTGCAACAGAGGATTGTGGATGAAATGAGAGACTCGTCTGGATTCACCGGAGTTTCGGGAATATGTTGCACACCCATCGTTTGGAGGATGCTTTGATGATTTCATCACATTTAACACGGGCTTCCTGGATCTATAGATGATCATCCCAAAATAGATAATGGCACATGTTCCAATAGATTCTTAGTGGGGATTTGCTCTTCTATTTATTTCAGGGCTAGTTTTCACATGTGTGGCGGATGCGGGGCAATCGAACTCCAGGAGTGATCAGAAGAGGGAACTCGCACGGTCTGTCGGAGTGATTGGATCTGTATGCCGTGGCTGCCAACGGTTGGCGACCCGTATGCATGAAATAACTAACTTCCATAGGTGTCCAGTCGGAGTGCATACATATGCATACATATATGTATATCACGTAGTATTACGTATGATCCATCCCATTGGTTTGGTCGCTTTTCAGTCTCATTGGTTTGGTTTTTGTATGCCCTCATCATGATGTTTCTTGTTCCAACTCCGGTCTGAAGATGTTCGAAGATGCCTGGCGCTTCGACTGGCCAGGTCCAAAACAGCCCTGCCCCCCTGTCGACACTGGCGTCGGCGGAATTCTAGCCGTTCAACATTGGACCTGGCCAGCCATGCCGACGTGTTCCGTGCCTCGATGCCGAGGAGAAATCGGCATCCAAAGCCATGGCTTTTCGCCCGAAGACTTCGACGGCGTGAAGATGTCAGAAGGGGTGCACAGGAGTGGAGACAGCTGTGTGTCTGTGTGTGTGTGTGTGTCGGTGTCGGGTGTGTCGGGCCTATGCGGAGGTCCGAAGACCGGTTGGGCACGCAGGCTGCGGCACGCCTAATTAGGTGTCCTTCAAAGAGACTGAAAGGTTTAGGTGTAGCGTCGACTCTCTTAGCGTCGAGAAAAACAGAACTCAGACCTTCTGAAAGCTCTTCCATGTGGAGGGCTTTGACAAACACATGAGTCTATACTGTACATGAATTGTTCATGTGTTTTGTTGAAGCTTCAGTCCAACCACCAATCATAAATATAGGAAAATATATTGTGGTAGGGTTCCAGTAGAGAGAACAGTGAATCACATTAAGTCGTTTAGATTTAGGGTTGTTTATGGACGAGAGCTTTCTGTGAGACAATTGGGTCGATGGCAATGTGAAATGGATGGTTAAATATCCTTGCCCGGACAGCAGTTTTGACACCCTTGTAATTAACATCGTTCTTACCTTGGCCACTGCTAGTAGCTCGAGGTACTCAAACAAGTCAATTTATCGCCAGGATGTACCTGGGCTTGCGCTGGAATTCTGTGGCGCGGACGTGGGAAAGCTCTCGGGTGAATCACTTCGTGGCAGCTCTGCCCAAATTCTTGGCAGAGATGTACAGCAACCTGGCATACCGCTGAGATCGGATGAGTATGCCACTATGTCATTGGATACTTCCAAAGGACATGGTCACACCACCCGTCACACTGCCTGCTTGCATTTGATCTTAGGATCTCATAAGGGGGCAGTAGCTGAAACAATGTGTTCTTGGGGATGACCGCCCACGGTCTGAAACCCTACGGGGGTTCACCATCCGTTTCACCCAGGTCTTTGGGGTCCACGGTTATGGGGTACCCATGCATTGTTTTAGTGTGTTTCAGGAGGCTAACATCAATCGGTAATATATAGTAACTATTGTTTGGGATGTCGGCCTGCAACCTAACCATCATCCACTGAAGCCTAGGTAATGGGATATATAGATATAACATATTTATGTACCCAGGTTTTTTAGGGGGCTCATTGGCTCCTGACACATGCAGTGGAAAAAGATGACATTCCACTCAGACAAGTCATCGAGATTGAAACCACACATGAGTCGAAAAAAACCGGGAATATGTGTTAAGTAAGGCATGTTCCCAGAGGTTCAGAAATCGCTTGGCCACCGCTTGGTATTCTGGTGTTTAAAGTGGGTATGTTACCTCGTCGCGCTAGCAAAACGCAGGGTTGCGCTAGGTTCGCACTAGGTTTGGCGCTAGGATCAAGTACTTAGGTAACTTAGAAAAGATTAACAAACAAGAGCTGATTGTAACGGTCACTCATTGGTGCACATACACACACACCCGCATAGGCACAAGAGCAGCAACTGTTTGAAAGGCAGCGCGCGCTGAAAAAGGCAGCAACTGTTTGAAAGGGAGTAACTGTTTGAGAGACGAGAAAGCGAGTTCTTGATCACAGACGTTTGGTGGCCTCATGCACTGGCAGGGAAGCGCGCTAGATCCGCGCTAGACCCGCGCTAGGTCCGCGCTAGACCCCTTTGCAACTTTGACCACTTGTCCAAGTGCTTTCCAGGGTGTATAGTCTTGGCAATTTGTTTCTGTGTGCAAGAGGGTGGCTACTTTGAGCTTCACATTTGGAACCATTGGACTCTGTAAGTAAGAACGCAGCTGCTAAAAGGGCATACACAACATACAACCATATACATGAGCGCATGTTGGGTACATGCTGGCCACCGCTTGGAATTGCTGTGATTCCAACCTAGGATAATGATTTTAGAACGGGTTTTTTTCACCTCACATGGCTTCTTTGCGTTTTGACAGGTTCACAGCAGCGAAAAGGATGGCAATGAGACAACGATCAGAAGGTGAACCAACCAACTTGCACTGGCGCATGCTTGTGTGGTGTGTTTTTCTTGAGGGTCTTGCTTTCCTATGACCCTGTCGGCTTGCCCTGTCTGCCCGGTGGACTTCTTGTTTGGTCGCCCCCGCACCCGGTTCCACTGTCACCTGAGATGCCTCTGTCACTCTTAATGAGCCTCAGGCGATGCCGTGAAGAGTGCCAACCGAGAGATGCAAAGTGCCCAGAACAAGCGCAGGAAGCTACAGCCCTTTCCAGAAAAGGCACCAACCGCACCCTGGCCGCGGACGGTTGACGGTTTGCCGCGGAGGGGAAGCATGGAAGGATGAACATGGCACCGGCAGTACGGCACCGAGCACATGGCGATTCCAGAATGTATTTGCATGCTATTATTTAGCTATTCTTTACACCTTTTGGTTGAGAATTGCTTGAGCTGCTTTGCGGTGGGACATCCTAAAGAGAAAACCTTTTCTTGGAGATCCTTTTTGCTCCGACCGAAAGCCCTCGCCCTCGCCGACTCGCCCCGAAAGCCCTTGCTCCACGGTCGCTCCGAAGTCGCCTCGCCCATCAGGTCGCGGCGGTCGAATTCTGCCCGATGGCATCGACGGTACAGCTCCACCAGGACGTTTTCCGCGCCCGATCCGGAGGACGAGCACCGGTTCGGCGCGCGCGCGTGGCTCGGTGGGTTTGGGGTTTGACGTGGTCATGGGTGTAGCTAGCCAGGTTTATAGATGATCACACACAAGGGCCAGGCCGTCTATTTACTGTATATCAATTATATATCATTACACATGCACCTAACGAATCCTAATGATAGATGGAACGCAAAAACTGTGTTTGTTTAATACATTCAGCAACGGTCTATGCATTCCATGGGTCCTCAAAATGGTTCAGTGACCAACTAAGAGGTGTTGTTTCAGCTGGCTTGAAATCAAGCCGGGTTCAAAAACGGATGGAATACAAAACTTGGACTGGTTTCACTCGTGCCCACGGTTTCAGACCCAATCATTCGATGCCTTGGTTTCGTTTGGTTTCCCCGGTCGATAGAGAGGTCGGTAGAGAGGTCCGTGGAAGATGAGGTAGGCCATACCCATGCGGCGAGGAGCATGACACGTTTCCTTTTGTGTTGTTTTGTTTTTGTTGGTCACTTTTGGTTGGCATGGAGAATGAAAACGATGTCGCCCATTGTTCGAACTGAAGGTTGTGAAGAACCCAAATCGACCAGTCTATGTTTAAGCTTTTAGTTATTTTCGTTTGAGCTCTTTTTCATGCGTTCTTAGGAACCAGTGGTTTCTGAGGCACCAACCAGGGGTCCCTTTCCCCCATTTGTCTACACCGTCCGAACGGCCGACGTGCTGGAAGCTGTGCAGCGAGGAGAAGACTGAAACACCCGAAGCCATTGAGCAAGGATTTCCCATCATGGGCATTTGTTCCTCGGCGCGCCATTGACCGACGAGAAGGATGAGGATCTGAGGATGAAGAATTTCTGAGGATGCGAGCAGTCTGACACCTGCAAATCGATTTTGTTGGCCTACATTTTGTGGTTTTGGGTGGTGAATGTAGGCCGTGTTGGCACCACCATGGGTCGCGTTTGGAATTTGGATCATTCCTTGTGCCAGCATGTTCCATTCTCCCTGTTGCCCAAGGGAATTTGTTCAAGTGCAAGGCGCTCCAAGGGCATGTTCCATTCTCCCGTGGGGTCTCAGTGTCGAACCGTGAGGCATGTCATCCTTCGGAACAGACCTAGCGCTTCCAAGGGGTGCCCTGTCTGGAGACCTGTAAGTAGTGTGGAGATATCCATTGGTGGCCCCTTGGAAGCAGCTGGTATATAACTATAGTGAATTGAGAGTAGATGGCACAGAGTCCAATGTCGGTGGTTTATATGGACCCCCATCTAAAGGACACCATGGGGGCCCAGTGCCATCGAACCTCTGAAACCGCTGTGTAGTACCCTCATCATGCATGGGACTGGAATATGCGCCGGTCCATTGGGGTGATTATCAGATGTATTCATCGTCGATGGATTCCAGTGCCATGGATGGTTTGGGATATGCTTACATCAAGGATCCAGTGCTGGCATGCTTGGGTGACTACTCACTGTCCGAAGTCACTTCACCCAATGAAGAAACAGGTCGACAAGCAGTCCAAGATCCACTCAGCACACTTGTTGGAGATTCTTTGTGTAGTTTATGTTTTTAATCGGATGTTGAAGATCTCTCAAAAGGGCTTATAGAATATACTGCCCCTACTTCAACATCCGACAGCCCGATGTCCATGTCAATGTGTTCCTCCATGTTCCAATATTCCAGCACGCTCCAGGCTCCAATTTCACCTGACACACTTGTCTCACAAACCCGACCTTGGTCTTCCGTTTCAGCATTGAAAACACGGTTCAACTGGATTTTTTGTAGTGTCGAATGTGTAAAACAATGGTTGTTCGGGATTCAGGCTATCAAATTCAATAAGCCCTGGAACAGACCACATGGAACCTGAAAACGAGGAAGCTAGTCAGCTAGTCTTCCAGTCTGGTCCATGCGGGTCGCCTGGTCCCATGTGACTCTGGAGGCATCCGAGAACGCCGAACGCCTCGCGGAAGCGGAAGCGGAGCCGTGGTCGCTCCCCAAGGCCTGGGCGCCAGCTGTGAGTTGGCCTACAGCAGCGAGGCGGGAGCCTCCAAGCCAAAGGTCCTCCGGCTGCGTGCCTCGGCGAAAAGAGGGAGAGAGAGATGCTTCAATGAAAGGATAAGAGATGGGCTGAGATGGGCCCTGATCAAGGGATCAAGGGATCCGCAGACGTTTTGAAGGTCAGTTGTTTTTTTAGATCTGGAGCCAGGTTATTTGGAGGTGGATGTGCAGGTGTGCGGTGTGTTGTGGGCTGCGGAGTAGAGCAACATAATTATACAATATATAATATCTCTATGGATCCACGTACCCTTTCAAGAAGGTCATTGGAGACTGTTATGTAGGTTTGGAGTGGTCCCCAGGGTATGAACTGAAGCTGAAATTGATGGCGTTTATGCCATTTTCTCGGTTGGACATCACATCGCGAGAGGGACCTCGCGTGGTGTGTGCCGGAAGAAGCCCCTTCAACAGCATTCCACTGGCCTGACCATCCACTGCCTGACCACCATCAAGGGTGTTGAGATGTGACGTGTTGCCCAACTCAACATGAATATATACATAAATTATGAAACTACAAATTGATTGGGGTTTGCCTGGCATTCACATCATGCAAGCTACCAAATTTATTGGGGTGGGTTCAGAGACTGATTCCACTTTAGAGTCTTTAGAGGGAAACAAGGACATTTGGCAGGATAATTGTTATATTTAATCTTGTATTTGTTTTGTGCTTTCATAGGAAATGACAAAGCCAAGATGAACTGGTTGCGTTCTTGCAGTATTGAGAAAGGGGAAATCATTTACTGTACTACAGTCTTACAGTACAATATACTACAATTATACTGCGTCATTTGTTGGCCTAGAAAACCAACGGCAGCCTCCCATCCACTCTTCAGGAATCCCATTCCTTTCCCAACAAAAATAATTCTTCAGTGCCACACCCAGTCTGCCCCATTCGTTTGACCGCTTGCCCCGGTGCCCCGTTTTTTTCCGCCCAAACCGCGCCCCGAACCCGCTCTTCCGCAGCGCCCTCAGGCAGTGGGGATTTGTTCCTCCTGGGGGGCGAGGCACGGCTCCTGTGGCATGGCTTCCAACGGATCATTCCCAACAGCTCGCCCTCCAACCTCCGGTGCCTTGGCGTAGGTGAGCGAACGAAAGCTCGCTTTCGAGCTTCAGAGCAGCCTCGCTGGTTGGGGAGTGACCGAAGGCGGCCTCCAAGCTACTAGAGATGGCCTCCAACCTAGTAGCTTCTTAGCTAGTAGTGTGGCTTTTCGGCCGAAGGGGCGGGACGGGCGGCGGTTTTTGTTGGCTTTTCAAAAGGGCAGTTGCGCGTGTGCAAGAAGGCGAGGCTCCACCCGGTAGTGTTGAAGAAGAAGTCGCCCTTGTTTCGTTGGTATTATTGAAGGCGGTTCAGTGTGGTAAGAACTTCGAACCAGGGTATGTATTTTGTTTGTTCTGCCGGCGTCATTAGTGACCCCTGCGTTGTTGGCCATTCTTTGAAGGTGAACACACACGCACACACATACACACGCCCACACGTACACGCTTTGGAAGAAAGGTCACAAGATCGAGTGAGCGAAGACAAATGAGAGGCTTTTGTCACACGCACCTACCTTGAGCCTGTTGTTTTGTGTGGGGGTCTATTGTAAAAACCCATGCGAAACACACGTGTCACAAGCTGTGACAGAGCAGAACACAAACGTTTTCCCAGCAAAACCTGCCATTTGCACCAGCCTGCACTGCCTGGAAACTCCAGGTTCCTTACCAACGCCGGCACCTTTCTGTTTATGGCACGGAATTACTGAGAGGACTGTTTATCTCCCTTGGCTGGGTAGACTGGTCCATTTCCCGAACCGAACCGTCAGAGCTCCTAACCATGTTTGAGCGATCTCATCTGGAAACAGAAGATGCGGACCCAGGTGGAAACATGGGATGAGATTCGTTGACTCCGTTGGAGTTGCTCTACGATCCATATATCTCCACATCGTACAACCAGCGGGAACTGTGTGCAGCATCCTTCAACCATGTTTTGGCACCCAAACTCAGTTCAAGACTCGTATTGTATCTGATCACCCGGCGGACTGGCAACCATTCTCTTTGCTATTTGTTTGTGTGCCTCTCTCTCTCATTATATGTTTGCTAAGACCATTCATGTTGTTTGGGCTTCGGGGAAAATCAACAACTACTGTGACAGGTTTTTGTTGCTGCCTTGGAACTGAGGCTTCAACCGGGGATGCTGCATCTCAGCCTGCGCGTGCACTAGCTGAGAAAAAGAACGACCACCGGGTCACGGCGTTTCGGCCACGTGAAATTCTTTATCGTGATGGAAGGGTCGGACTTTTGTCCACTAGCCGGAGGTTCCGATTTTTTCAGGAATTCTTTGACAAGTACCAGCGGCATCCAGCTACCAGTTGATAGGTATGCTCAAAAATCGATCAGATATATTATAGATGATTCATTGTATTTAATTAAGCAGATACCTATATTCTCAATGCAATCCCAACAAAAGGGGCAGATGGTCATAGTGAGGAGATGATCCCAAGGTTTGGTCGAACTCAGAGGATATATGAGGGGAATTCGAGATGACAGATGAACAGGTTTTGATCCCCCTTGGTTATCCCATACTGAAATCCTGGTGGTTGACCCCACCGATTCAGAAGAAAAAAACGTTCAAAAAAACTCTTGGGATTGCATGTCATGTAGAAGGTCACCTTGGACCCATAGGGTTTTAATACGTAAAGTCCTGTAGATCAACCCCGGCCGTCGGTACCAAGGGGGATAGGTTTTGCTTATTCAGGGACTTCACACTCGGCATGGAAGGATGAGCTTGACTTGCCCAGAACCACTGTCAGGAAACATAACATTTCGATTGGTTGATCCAGTTTCGGTTGATTCGTTCATCGCTGGGATTTTCAAAAACAGTATTTAAAAAACAGCCGTGTTGATTCTTAAATGATAGATTTTAGACAAGACTGGTTTCACCATTTAACAAGCGAAACCAATTGGTGAAGGCACACTTAGATCACTTCGGTAGCACAAATCTCATGCAAAACATGGCGGATTGATTTGCTTGGCGAAGCCATTTGGGATCCGCGAGCGGTCACAAAGCCATTGCGTCAGCTAGTCAGCCAGCTAGCACGCACAGTCAGCAGTCGCACGTCGACGAACGTGTCCCTCAGGTCATCCGAGCACCGACCAGTCGGAGAGGGTGAAGAGATCCCAAAAGAACGCGCGGATTGGGCGTTGCATTCCGAATGGCCACCACAAATGGCGCATTCCTTGGTGGGTCAAGACCTGCAGCTCCTAATCTCTGGTAGGTTGATCTCTTTGTAGTCCATTCTGTTCCTTTTGGTGGGATAAAGCAGGGTTCCGGTCTTGTGACCCAGAGCCAAATACTTCCAGTAAAGGCTTATTCCATGACTCCTTGGCAATCTATTGTCTTCATTTTTCACCAAATAAGCGTCTAGGAGCGTTCGGACGCTACTAGATGGAGCCCATCGCTACGAGCGGAAGAAGTAACAAGAAGCTACGAACGTAAGAATCCAGTAAGAAGGTCTCTTCATTCTTCACCAATCCAGGGTAGGTCAGGTCACAACGGCCCGACGCTGGTCCAACATGTCCTGCTTGGCCGACGATGTCGACTGTTGGAAACATTTCTGCCGAGACCTCCACGTGGAAGCTGGGACCGAGACGGTGACGGAAAAGTAGTTTTCGAGTTCCGAGAGATGTCCCAGGTTGACCCCTTTGTCAGGCAAACCCAAGTGACAGGGAGAAGTGCGAAACGGACCAAAGCTGGTGATCAGCCAGGGGCCCCTCGAGATAGGGTAAGTGTGCCCCGTGTCACATCCACTCAGGAGACGAATATTCGACGAACTGTTGGATGGAGCATTCCAGCAAGCGAGAAGAACCAAATTCGATCCCTGCAGTGACTGATCAGGGGATTGATCATTCTCAAAATCATTTCCCTGCAGTGACTGAACTTAGTCTTCCCAAAAAGATTGGCTGAGTCGAAAAAAACAGACATGTCCTTCGGGTGTGCAGGAATTAAGCTGAAAAGCTGTGTGGAGAAGGTACGGGGAAATGGATGATGTGTTATTTTCCTTAGAAGTCCCAAGACATCCAAAGACTACATAGTTATTTGGCACCACAAAAATCAAGACACTTGCTTCTTGGGTCATCTAAAGACATTCTAAAGACATGTCGACTGGTCTTAATAGTCGACTGGTCATCCCCTTCCATCCTTTGCAACAGGTCGAAGCGGTTGTCTCTGCGAGCTGTTGACTCTGCGGACGCAGATCTTCTCCAAATGTGTGGTCACACTGGGGATTCTGACGGGTTCGCGTTGTTTTGAAACGCTTTACATATAATTATATATATCATATAATATATATATATATCATAAGATATATAAGACTTATTATTAAGATTAAGATAAAGTTTCAGTTGTTTTACATGGGTGAATCCATGTGAATCCCTTTTCTGGGAATCCTCTTTTTTCCGGTCTCTTCATAGACAGCCCTAGGGTGCCCTGGCAGGCACTTTTTGTTATCAAATCCCTCGCACAAGGATATCCCTGATGGTCACGCTTTTCTCCGATTTCGCTGAGTCGTTCTTCTGAGGAGAGCGATCTTTCCAGAGACTTGGTGATGTGTGCGATTTTGGCGATTTCACTTCTGTGGCTCCTCACGCTGGGCCTCCTCTTCTTCAGCTTGGGGGCTTGCAGGAGAGACTTGGGAGAGCACGAGGTGTCCCAAAGCAAAAGCGTTGAACATTGAAAGGTATATATTATATAGTCATCCTGGAGTAGATAGAATCTACTTTCGTAGGTTTTTTTTTAATCAGGTTTTTTGACATCCCTTTCATTTTAAGAAGACTGACCCTATTATATATAGAATATAGTGATAAGATTCTGATCAACTCCTCCCATTCCCGTATTTGCTCCTTTGTTATTTTCATGTTCTGTTCCTATGTGTATTATCTAAGCTTTCCTTTCCTTTGGACAACAAAGGAAAAGGAAGAGAAGCCCCTACAACCATATTCTATCTATGGGGTTTGGACGGGCCGGTTTTGAGGAGTGAATTGTTTTTGAAATTCGTCCATTCTATCTACTCCAGGATGATCATATATATATATAGATAATTTAACAAGGCTTCCCTGAGCCACGCTTGCTGCGCAAAGAAGCAGGGCAAAACAATTAATTCACTGATTTTCAGACCTCCAACATGTGCAGATTCAGTTGGGTATGTCTCGTGTGCGTCGCTTGTGCCTGAGTTGCTCAAAATGGAAGGCTCCAAAGACGGCTTTGACTATATAACTTGGAGACAGCGATCCCAGATGTTCCGGCAAAAAAGGAACTGGGTTTAACATGGTGTAACCGTGTCAGCACTTGCAACGTATCCGTGAGGAACAAGGAGACCTCATACTGGAGGAAGCTTGCGGAGAATTTGATCGACCCCTGTTATTCTTCTTGTTCGTTCTATTTATTTTGCGAGGTACGGCCTATCCTCATACCAGTAGTGTTGAGATACGGATGGAGGGACCATGAGATTCATGTATGTATAACGTGATGGACAATCCTCGCGCAAGAAAAGGTTATAAAATTAATTAACGGTAGATTATGCATAGACAGATGTTTATGATTGACCAGAGATCCCAAAAAGATCAGGTGTCTCAGTCTCCCCGTTCTTTTCTTATAGGGCTACTAGGAACAAGTGCATCGCTACTAGGAACAAGTGCATCGCTACTAGGAACAAGTGTATCGCTCTCCTAGGAACAAGTGTATCGCTACTAGGCACAAGAGCATCGCTACGAACGTAGCTATAGGGCTTCCATGTGCATTTTGCTCTACCGAGAAAGGCATTTTCAATGTCCCACGTGCACCGCACTGCCCCCATGGGGAGTTTCGGAGGGTCTCCCAGAGAGCGAGTCTTGGTCACAAGACCACCAGACCACCAGTTCGCACAGATCAGGATTGTATCCAAGTGATCTAACATGAATGTTGACATGAATATATATAAGCTCATGTCATTGTTTCCAGGTCCTCTGTCATTTGCA